AAATAATTCCTGACATTGATATTCATCTTACTCTTTTTTGAGTTGAGGATTGTGAAGATTGCCTTGGATACACATCCATGATTCTAGCAATACCTTGCAGCCCCTCCTCTTTAGCATTGTATTACTTACTCCATTCAGGAGAGTTAGTGCCATGCATTTCTGAATCCTAGATGTATTCACTGTTTGGATGGACTCTATAATTTATACTTGTAATAATAACAACAACAATTATAAAAGAACATTAAGGATGTGTTTGCAATACACTATTCAAGAGAAAAAGCGAGGAATTGTTTGTGAGATTGATTGATATGCGACAATGGAATTATGCTAATTTGCAAGATCTGTTTTTTTGTCATTTCACTATTTCGGTGTAAATGATTTGCAGTGATTTTCAATAAAATATAATATGTCCTTATAACTTTCTAAAATATCAGAGAAAGATAACACGTTAAAATGTGTATTTACTTTGAGTCAGTTATGTGAGTGTTGTGCTGAACTGAAGTTTGGTTGGTTGGGAGCAACAACAACGGAGGTCATTTGAGGAAATGATTTTTTGTGAGTTTTTTGTTCTTGCATGTTGGAGCCATTTCGTTGAGATGAAGACCAAGAAAGGACTTGATGTTAACGAGGTTGATGGATGAAAATGAAGAAAATAGTGGTTGAAGATGAAGAATGAAGATGCAGAAGAGGAGAAATCGTCGTCGTATTCAGTTCTAGAAGAACCGTATTCGGTTCCACCTCAAGCAAGAAAATTGAATGAGATCGTATTCGGTTTCCTGTCAGTATATTCCGTTCCCCTCCTGTGAGATTTGGTTTACTGTCGTTGTATTCGTTTCCTCCTCCATGATATTCGATTCTCACTTCGTGTATTCGCAAGGAAAAGTGTGTATTCGGTTCCTACCTTCATGCTATTCGATTCCTGCTTCGTGTAGATGTGTGTATTCGATTCCATGGGTTCCCACCTCCATGCTATTCGGTTCCATGGTTTTCAGCCTATCAATATATCACCATTTCAATGGAACCGAGTTATCTTTGCTGGAGGCTCAAGAGCAAGCATATTCGTCCCTCCTTTTGGGAGGTCTCCTCTTATGGTAGGACTCACACTCCTTCCAAGTGCTGCTGCAAAAGGAGCAGGTACCATATAGATCGAAGCTCTTTATTTTTCATCACATGAGAGTTTGGAACAGAGTTCATCAATTGTCCTATTGTTTTTTCAGGTGAGGTCCATTGTTCCTTATAATGTAGTTTATCTAATTAGAAATCACTTTTTTTAGTCTTGTGCACATGTACCTAGAGATTAAAGCATACATATAATCAAGGTGGGTGGTTAAGATGCTGCTATGAATTTTGACCTTTTCCATGGGTCTAGATTTGAATCCCGAGATGAAAATTTCTCTACTTGGTGAACAACTCTTTCTTGTAAGATGACCATACCATTCGACACTGAAACTTGGGGACTAATTGAGTAGTTACAACTCTTCTTTTGGTGGATCTCTTCATGCATTCTCATCATGCATTTGGTGTCCAACCTACCTAACAGTATATACTTAACCTTTATCATGGAAAAATGAAGCATATACTTACCCTTATTTTTGGGTAATAGCGAAGATTTTGTTGCCCTTTAATTTAACTGAATATACTTTTTTTTTTCTTTTCGTTGTGTTGTGGCAGTTTGCTTGGATGGAACATTGCCTGGTTATCATTTTCAGGCCACCAATTTATTATATTATGAAAGCAAAATCTATTACAACATTTCTTTTGTGGTCATCTTAATAATTGACTTATAGTATTTTGTTAAACTATTTCAAATAAGCTTAGTATGAAATAAAATGCCATTTATATTCAAACTCCATGTTGGATATATGCTGTTTTTAATTATGGAGTTTTGGCACGGTTTTTCACCAACCTGAGTAGGAATTTTTTGCGATTAAATTGAATTTTTAAAATCATTTTTTTAATTTTCTCTTAATGATTTGTTTTTTCATAAATATTAAATTCACTTCAATAAGAAAAACATACCATTCGACACTAAATTATATTAAAAATATATTATATTTTAAAAAAGATTATTTCAATTTATTAAATTACAATTTTCTTACATTTTTAAAATTAATTTTAATTTTTTTTCTCTTTATAAACATTTTTACAATTATACAATTATCATTTTATATTACTTTCACAAAGAGGAGTATTTTGATCATTTTCAATTTCTACCCATTAAATAATTTTTTTATCGGTTACTTCAGTCAAATCCTACTTTAATTTTCACACACTTTATTTCCAAATTCACTCTCATTCGTCTTCAAATTTACTAAAAATACAACAAACAATTCATCCTGAAATACCCTGCTCACTCTTTCCCAACTCAATCTTCTAAAGCGAACACACCCTAAGTTAAAACTCTTTATCATCTTTTAATTGTTAGAACTGTAACGTGTGTTTACATAAGTGGATAGCACGGTTGAAGAGAAAATGCGAGGATGGATTTGTGAATTAAATCGTGTTCATTTGACGTGATATACGACGATGGAATTAGAATGATTTGCGAAATACAGTCGTTTCCATAATTTTGCTGATATGCAAAGATTTGAGATAATTTATAGTAAAATATCATGTTTGTTCTCGTTACTTTGTAAAATACCACCTCAAAAGCAACAAGGATTAATGACAGGATTCGATTCCAAAGTTTGGATAATCCATTACACCTCAAGCAGCAATACTGAATGTTATTGTATTCGATTCCCTTCATGTGTATACAGTTCCCTTCATACATATTCAACGTTGTATTAGGTTCTCTCGCTTGTATCCACTTCCTCTACGTGGTATTCGATTCCTCATTCACAAGTTTGTGTGTATTCGCAGCGGCTATGGCAGTGGAGTCAAGGGAGGAGGAGCGGCATACAGTGCATGGCATAAATGGTTGTGGAAGGGAGGAAGTAATCCTGCGGTGGCTGCGAAGGGGGAGGGTGGTTGGATTGGGGATGGTAATAGTAAGGGGGAGGTGTGAATGGAGGCGGGAGATTTTGGATGTAATTGTTTCTTCTTCTACTACTCCATGAGATACCCATGAGAGTATGAGAGTGGTTAAATTCAGAATCACAAACAATGAGATGATGATGAAATAGAGCTCATGAATGTGTGTTGTGCTGGAAATACATACAAGTAATATTTACTTTCAAATGTCTCATATTATATAAAATATATAATATTAAAAAAATTATATAGAATTAAATTTTTAAGAATAGTTTCAAAATACATTCATTAATAATTAATTTTAAATTTTCTTCTCTTTATAAATATTTTTACAATTAAATATAATATTAACCATTATCATTTTATAATTAGGAGTATTTTGATAATCTTTAATTTCTATCCATTAAATAATTTTTTTATTTGTCATATCGATCAAATTCTACACTAATTTTCACAAACTTTACTTCTAAATCCATTCTCATTCATCTCCAAATCCACTCAAATAAACAACTATCAGTTCGTCCTTAAATCCATTCACTCACTCTCTTCCAAATCAATCTTTCCTTAAATCCATTCACTCACTCTCTTCCAAATCAATCTTTTAAAGTGAACACAACCTAATTATTAAAAATATCGTTCTTTTTTAAATTATTTTTGAAATTATTATTATTATTGCTGTTATTATTTTTATTATTATTATTTATAGCAGAGGAACGAGAACGGGTGCCGAAGCAGAAAAATGATTGTTACACTGCAAGATGATTTCGTTTTAAGGAATTTAATTATTACATTTATACTTTATACTATTTACTAAGAAAAAATTATTATATGATTTTCAAACATGACTGTAAAAAAATTACCTTTAATGACTGTAAAATATACCTTTATCCTATTGATGCATATAAATTAAGTTATTTTAAATCAGTTTTTCATTCAACTCTTGCCTCAGCAACTGATTAATTACAAGTGGTTAAAAATCAATTTCATGATTGATTAGTGTCACGTTTACGAGGCTTAAGGCTGTCCGTCAACGTATTAATTTCTTTACAAAAGGATATGTTTGCATTGGGATTCAAATCTCGGAAGCATTTTTCAGTGTTACTAATAAATTAACTAATGTTGCATCTTTTTATTTCGCTCTTTTCAGCATTATTTCAGTCAAATAGCCTTTTAAAAGAATGTAAATTTAAAGACGTTTATTAAATGAGTAAAATTAAAAAAGACGCAAGTTTTGGCAGTTTTAAAATTCAAGTTTTCTATTCTGATATATTGTTCTAAGATAAAAAAAATGGTACTTATTATATTTCAATTTGAAAGTAACTTCTGAACTTAAAATGTTATAAAATTACCAAACAACTTTAATTTAAATCAACACCATGAATCCATCAATTAGGCAAACTTACTAGAAAAGTAAGAATAAAATACAAAGTAACTTATTCCTAATGTCGGTGTTCATTTATCTTATACATAATAAATTTAATTACAATTCACATCTATGTGCTGTTAACGCACTTCTTTTCTGACACTGACGTACCATGAAAGGAATTGAGCATTTGAAGGCAAGTTCAAATAGTTATCTTGTGATTAGTGCTATCACCAATTCAAGTGTAGTATTGGTTTTGTATATTTCACATAGTAAAGTCAACTATGATTTGTAACTAGCAACCTTACAAGTTGGGTATAATGTTATGTTATATATTCTCTTAAGTCGCCACCTGGTTGACTTGTTCATTTTCCTATCCAATTGAAACCTCTAGAATTGAAGTTTCACAAGTTGTAAAATATCTGCAATTTGGTTTCTTATTATATCGCACATAAAGTTCAACCACCACAAACCAGACCGTAGAATTAAAAAGAAAGACCAAAAGCGCCGCTGCTTGTAAGCTTGTGTTGTTAGTGAAGGGAACCAAAACCAGTGGATTCCATGGTTTTTCTTTCTCTTACTGTTTTGATAATTTTAAACCTCGTAGATGACAATTCTTCTTCGTTGGTGCACTATATATATTCCACAGAAACCAACCCGTTTCTGCACATTGAAAAAGAAAAGTGCTTGTGTGTTCTGTGTAAGTCATTACTAATCAAAAAGTCAATCAAGCAAAGAAAATGGTTTCAACTACTGCTGGAAAAGTCATAAAGTGTAAAGGTATTTTGTTGCATATATACAACTGTACATGTTGCAACGTTTTTATTTTATTTCTTGCTTTAGTTTTTACTGCGCAAATGGTCTAACTAAATATACATTCATTGCTTTTCCAGAATGCATGCCTATACTAAGAGTTAGAGGAGTTTGATTCATCTATACTAGTTTAACGTGGCCATCAATGAATTTAGCATACATTACACAATAGATTACAAAATTTCTGTGTATCTTAGTTGTGATTTTCTTTCTCCGCTTTCTTTTTCCCTAATTATGAGTCTTCCAAAGTGTTTTTGCCTCGTATGCTTGCCGGGTTGTTCCTGTTGAGCCATGCAACTATCAACTTTCTTCAATTGTGTTGCATGCATTGGTCTTATCTGCTTCTTCATAACACTCACAATATGACCCTTTTTTGTAACTTTTAGTGATTAAGTAGTATAAGAAATTACTTAAAAAGGCTGCCATCCCTAAAACAAGTGATGTGACTTCAAATTATAACCTTGATTATGCATGAATTGATTAAAAATGCTGCATTGCAGCTGCGGTGGCATGGGAAGCCGGAAAACCACTGGTGATAGAGGAAATTGAGGTAGCTCCACCACAGGCTAATGAAGTTCGTCTGAAGATCTTGTTCACCTCACTCTGTCATACTGATGTCTACTTCTGGGAAGCCAAGGTAATCAATGGTTATTTCTAAATAATAGTAGGATTCTAAGTATAACTGAACATATGCTGAAATTGTTAGATTGAATGTTTTACAGGGACAGACACCTCTATTTCCTCGGATATTTGGTCATGAAGCAGGAGGGTATGCAGAATTTCCATTTGAAAAACAACAGCATCTTTCTTAATCTCAAATTTGATCTTGTGTTTTAAACTTTTTCGTTTCTTTGCTTTCAGAATCGTGGAAAGTGTTGGTGAGGGCGTGACAGATCTCAAGCCTGGTGATCACGTGCTTCCAGTGTTCACAGGGGAGTGCAAGGAGTGTGATCACTGCAAATCAGAGGAAAGTAACATGTGTGACCTCCTAAGGATTAACACTGACCGTGGAGTGATGCTGAATGATGGCAAGTCAAGGTTTTCAATCAATGGACAACCAATATACCACTTTGTTGGAACCTCCACTTTCAGTGAATACACTGTAGTACATGTTGGCTGTGTTGCCAAGATCAACCCCACTGCCCCACTAGGCAAAGTTTGTGTTCTGAGCTGTGGAATCTCAACTGGTTGGAATAACTACACTCTGCTCTTTTAGTCATTTGTAAACTTTCTCTTTCAATTAACTGTATCATTGGTTTTCTTATTGAAGGTCTTGGTGCTACATTGAATGTTGCAAAACCAAGAAAAGGTTCATCAGTAGCTATATTTGGATTGGGAGCTGTGGGACTTGCTGTGAGTTGCCTTGCCTCTTCCAAAATGAAAGGAAACTATGGTGCATCTATCTCTGCTTAGTAAATGTTTATGCTTTTACATTTTCTATAGGCTGCCGAGGGAGCTAGACTTGCTGGTGCTTCCAGGATAATTGGGGTTGACTTGAATTCCAACAGATTTACTGAAGGTGAGTGAAACAGATAGAAAACCTTGTACGTCCACACACATGCACTCACATTACACACTAACTTGGAAGACTTTATTTGAACTCATGAAAGATGCTTATCATATTTCTAAAATCTCCTTTTAGCTTATTCTGATAAGCTTAATAGACTCACTTTTAATAAGAATTTGTTAAATATATGGTTAATTGATCAATTTCTCCAAACATTTTCATAAGCACCTGAATCAGCTTGCTATTGAGGACCCTGATACATCAAAAACTTCAAATAACTCTGCATTGATTGTGTTCTGAATGTGCTTGTTTGTTTACAGCTAAGAAGTTTGGAGTTACTGAGTTTGTGAATCCAAGAGATTATGACAAACCAGTTCAAGAGGTTTGTCACCTACTATTAACTGACCAGTCATGAAACTATACACATCTTTTACACTTACTTGAATCTCTTCAATGCATTTCAGGTGATTGTTGAAATGACTGACGGGGGAGTGGACCGAAGTGTTGAGTGTACTGGAAGTATCAATGCTATGATCTCAGCATTTGAATGTGTGCACGATGTAATGTTCCTCAAGCTTCTTCTCAAGTCATTTGATTTTTCCATTCTTTTAACTGCAGTGTATCAATGGATGTCTTCAAATACTAAGTCCTAAATTCTCATTCTGATTTCCTCGGTATAACTCTTTAGGGATGGGGTGTAGCTGTACTAGTTGGTGTGCCAAATAAAGATGATGCTTTCAGAACCCATCCAATAAATGTCCTTAACGAAAAGACGCTCAAGGGTACTTTCTTTGGCAACTATAAACCACGTTCTGACCTCCCAGAAGTGGTCGAGATGTACATGAAAAAGGTCAGTGAGTTACATCATCAATAAGATCACTGTTTGAATTTTACATGCATCCACACATTAGTTGAGATTCGAGATTGTAGAGGGTATTGCGTGAAAAGTAGCTTTCGTTGACTAAATAGCCCTGTTGTTGATTTAGACACTCAAAAATATGTATAGTCAATCTTTTCTCATAGCTTTTCAAAGAAACTTCCTTTTCTTTTTCTTCTGATACTTCATGTCAACCTTTGACTGCTCCTGACTTAGAAATTGATCCTTTTCTTCTTCATTCTTTCGAATGTGACAGGAACTTGAACTGGAGAAATTTATCACCCATGAAGTACCTTTCTCTGAAATCAACAAAGCCTTTGAATATATGCTCAAAGGGGAGGGTCTGCGTTGCATAATCCGCATGACTGCATAGAATTTATTCAAACAACTACTTTGAGTGGTGGAAAACAAACAAATAAATTATAATTGAGCATGTATTTAGCTGTGGTTATGGTAACGAAACAGTCTTCATAAGTTTGCTTTAAATTTCATGGGGAAGTTTAATACTTATGTAAATATCATGTTTATACAGAATAAACAAACTACCCATGTATTGCTGTATTTTTGGACAAGTATATAGTTTATACATTACAGTTGAGTGGGATTGAAGTTGATAATCATAAGTTGGAACAGTGTATTGAAAATCTCTAGAATCTTAATATTACCTAGTATGAGTTTATTACAGCTTTCTATGCTAAGAACAGTGCAGGGTTGGAAATTTAACTTTCAATAAAGTGGAGTCACTAAGCATAAAAGTTTTGTTACGTTTTACTTCTGTAAAAGGAACCCAATAATTGGAAGCTAAATCTGCAGTGGCAAAATCCACTATGTATTGCCAAAGCAGGAACATTTCAGACCATGCTTATATTGGTTTGAGAGTCTAATTTCTTGTTGGTTTATGACCCGTGACTCTGGGCTATAAAATGTTTGCTAGCAGAAAACGATAACATTATGAGTAGCATACTTTCAACCTTCCAAATAAAGCCTTGAATCTATCAAGAGTATAGTAAATACAAGAAGAAAAAACCAACTCGTTTTGACAACTTAAGACTATCCCCCAAAAAACTATACTTAAAAGCAGAAAATTATTTCATAGTAAAAGAGATTCTTTCATGAACAGGGCTTATCACGTGACACTTGATCAAACCGTGTACATCTGTTTTGTTCAATATATAAAATATTGTGACAATTTCAAATACCCTTACCCTTACAAACCAAAAGATTAAAGTAAAGTATTCATGTAATCATGAAAACACAAGACAAAGCAGATCTAAATAAGATCTTAAGAAGAAAGGAATCATATAACTCTACTTCTTGAGTTTATTGCCCCACTTTTCTATATACGAATTGTCTTCTCTCTTTTCACCCCTCCCCCTCAGAAAATCTCAAGATACCAACACCCTCCCTTACTCTATAATGGCTTCTAAGATCTTCTTCCTCTTGTTTCTCCTCTTTCTGCTATACCCTCATCAACATGCTTGTGTGAATGGAGATGCCACTTTGATCCAGAGAACTTGCAAGAACACCAAGTACTACAATCTATGCTTCTCTTCCCTCAAATCGGATCCAAGTAGTCCAAACGCAGATCCTAAAGGCCTAGCTATGATTATGATCGGAATCGGAATGAGCAATGCCACCTCCACTTCTTCCTACTTATCTTCCAAGTTGCTTAGCCCCTCCAACAACACAACCTTGAAAAGGGTCATCAAGGAGTGTGCAGATAAGTACACATATGCTGGTGATGCTCTCCAAGCTTCAGTGGAGGATTTGCTCAATGAGGCTTATGACTATGCTTACATGCACATAACTGCTGCCAAAGATTACCCAAATGCTTGTCACAACGCTTTCAAACGGTACCCTGCTTTGACTTATCCTCTAGATCTTGCTCGCAGAGAAGATGGTTTGAAGCATATCTGTGATGTGGCAATGGGGATTATAGATAATCTTGATTGGTAGGTTTATACATTTCACTGTAGCTTCCACTTTGTTCTGCAAACCGTGTCAGTTATACTATATCTCTGTTGTTAAGTTTGGCAACTTTGTATCTTGTAATGTTCTTGGTATAATATAATTAGACATAAAAGGATTAGTATTTTTGAATTTAACTAACCATCTTAACGTATTTATTTCTGGAGCAACAAAATTTGAGAAAGTAAAGCTTAAAATTCTTCTAGTTTCAAAACAGTTGCAATGCACACATGTATATATATACAAACAAAATAATATTTCAACCATGTTTATGTTATATACGTATAAATTTTAAAAATTCTATATACAAATTATCAGCATCATATATTTTATTTACATATGTATATCTTAATAAGAGTAAAATAATATCCGCATATACTTAGTAAAAAATAACTTTTTCCATACTTGAAAATGGAATATGCAACCAGAATCTGAAGTTCTTTCAAATCAAATTCAGTTTGTGTATGTTGAAGATTTGACAATTGATGTATACAAGACACAATAAAAGATAAGAGTTAGAAGTTACACTCTTTGAAATCTATTTATATTGTCCTGATTATTTATAAAGTTACAAGACACAATCAGAATCTAGGTAAGGTGATAAACTTTTTCTCAATCCCTTTTTTAAATCAAAATATAGAAAATTGAAAACTTTACAAGCAATATATAATAACATGAGTTATAATACATATCTCACACTTCTCACACACTCATGCCAAATTAATAGTATTGTTCTTTGTATCTCAATAAAAAAAAACATCATAGTTTGTGGATTGCTTGATATATTTTTGTGACAAAAAGAAATTGAGACTCGAGTGAAATTAAATAATGTTTAATAACAAAATAATGTTTAATAACAACATCAATGAAAAAAATAATTTAAAGAACTGAAAAGCACACAAAATTTCTTTGACTTTAATGTTAGAATATAATTTTCAAAAAGAAAGAAAGGATCTCACACTACATTTCTAATATGTTTGACTCATCCTTTCTTTTGGTTAAAAGGGAAATAAACTTCCCTCATTCTTTTTAGTTTTAAGTAAAACAAATATCATAATAATTTCTCCAATAGAGGTTAAAAATTGTATCACATGGTAAACATTTATTCACTCATTTCCTTACCTTATTTCAAAGAAATAGTATTACATTTATTTAATTTTGTGTGT